GTTCTATTTTAATATAATAATCTTTATCACCTGCGGAAATTTATTCTGATTTCTTGCTTCACTGCCACCTGTGACCTTCAATAATTTAAATGCAACGCCAATAGGCAATTATTTCTAAAACCTTTTCTTTTATTGTCCTTTCTTCTCATTAAAGTCTTCTCTTTCATTCCTAATAACTTCTGGCATTACCGCCTTGCTTGAGGTGAAATGATTAAAAAAAGATTTCTTGAGAATGACAAGCAAGAACACAAGAAAAAACATCAAAGACAGCTGTTTATGACTCTTCTATTCACCGCCCTCCCCGTCTTCCGTTCATCTCTGACGGGTTCCCGCCAAAGCAATCATTCTTGGAAACCTCGACAACACGTCACATCCTAGAAAACAACAAATCTTCTGAATTCATCCATGCATAACAAAGTGAGCAAAGCCGTAGAACAGCTGATATAATTGCCACTAGTGAGTAAAAGATTATCCAACATCTGGATTCTTGAAGTATTTAGAGAGTTACTTTCTCCCTGACTTAACAAACCTTGTCCCAAGAGTCCTATACTCTGGCCAATGAGGTTGCAGAAACAAGATTAACAATTCGTTCGTTATCCCTGTAAAGTTTCACATTTTCGAAATACCTTCTTCTGTATGGTGTATCCATTCAGGGTGTGGATGCTCATATCTCTCCACAATTCCATATCCTTTTTATTTCTTAGTGAGGATTATCGTTGTCCGTCGCCCACTTTTCTGTCATACATTTACACAAGCTTGTTATGTAAGTTACTGCTTCCATCTGTTCCTCTTGCCGTCAGTAGATCCTGTGAGTGCCGAATTTTCTAAGGCTTCTTTCCTCATTATATATCCTAGAAATTTCAACGACTTTTTTTCTGATTCTCAGTAAAAAATATCCTTTGTGTTCCTATTTTCTCTAAAACTTCTTCTTTGCTTATATGTTCCAGCCGTGACATTCTCAGCATCCTTCTGTAGAGCATCTCCTTTGACTCAAGTCACATCTTCTTCTGTAAGGAACATTAAATGCCATATGGGAGGTTTGATATAACACAGCAGTTCGGTCCTTTTTTTTCTTTTTAATGATTGATTCGTTTTTTACGGCTTATCACCCCCTCCTCCTCCGGTTACCTTTTTTTTTGTTTCTAATGAACTTTTCTTGATCCTTAATACTTCAGAATGTTCAGAATACTATGGGGGAAATATGTAAGCAACGAAGAAATTTTTAAAATAAGAAGAAATGGATACATGAAGTCAGACATTCTCAGCATCCTTCTGTAGAGCATCTCTTTTGACACAAGTCACATCTTCTTCTGTAAGGAACATTCAATGCCATATGGGATGTTTGATATTACACAGCAGTTCGGTACTTTTTTTTTCTTTTTAATGATTGATTCGTATTTTACGGCTTATCACCCCCCTCAGAAACAAAAACTGCTTAGAACTAAAACGATAAAACGTTGTGGAGAGCCATGATCGCTTAGGTCTTGAAAGACCACGACACATAAAAGAATTTTGTTCGATGTGTGCTGAAAATTTATCGACTTAATGCGCTTTCTAAATCTGATTAAATAACCTTTATAATTTAGTTGCATGGTGAAACATCAAAGAGTTATGAGGTTGAATTACGTAATAACTATAAAAAAAAAAGACACCTCTGACCCACCTATTATACACTTACAGTAGCATAGTGGTTATCGGGGCGGAGAATGGAATCGGCGTCCTGAGTTCAAATGCCGGCTGAAATTGTTTCGCTTACTTTCGCAGAAATAATCTTTACAAATGTATGAATCTATCTCTTTTACCCGCCCTCCCATCTATGGGTTATATAACAGAGAATAATATGGTCTCTAGATTTTGTTGACAACCAGATAGGAGAAGGGGAAATTTGGATACAAAGCCGGTTGGGCATGAAGCTTGAAATTCCATCTGTAAAGAACTACTTGCTACAAACGTCACAACTGCAACAACTAGCAAGGTGACATTTTCAGCTAGAACTCCCTATGTTACATCCACGCTGCCGAAACATTCATATTTCCTCCGTTTATATAGAGGAAGATCCGCTCAGGCAGCATTTTTGTCCCAAGTCTTGCCACTTTATGGAACATACTCCCACGTAGATGTTTTTACTGAACACGACCATCCTAACTTCTTCAAATTCTTTTCTCGCACTTCTCGCTTGTGGAACTCTCTTCCTGATTCTTGCTTTCCAGTCAACTCTGATCTTCAAAAATTCAAATGCAATGTCAATCGTTATCTTCTGTCTTCTTAACTTCCGTTCTTTTATCGTTCTTTCTCTTAGATAATGTTTTTTTTTTTTTTTTCTTTCATATTCTATCACGCTCAGTAATTCTTTGCGTCTTAGTGATTCTGTTGCCTTGCTTGGGGTGAAATGAAATAATATCCACTTTCGTCTACCACCTCTACGTTCATATTACACACATCAATTCAGTAACACTCTATAATGAGTGGCTCTTGAGTCTTTTAGTGGCTGAACTTTAGCATAAAAAATGATTAATACCGCAGTTTTTCCATGAAAAAAATTGAAGACAGTTTTTTCCTTGATGTTCAATATAAGGTTTTTAATTTTTAATAAGGCATATACATTAAACATTTTTTTATTGTCCTCAAAATACCTCCCGGTGTCAAAATTTACAAAGACAGACAAAGCTCTATCTTTATACATGGGACTAATCAATAATTTATTAAGTCAAAGATATTCCGCAAGATATATATTTGACTTCATCGATTTATTCAAACTACCTTTTCTCGCAATGTAGAGTAATGGGTAGCGGCTCGGATTGAGGAATCGGAGAGCCGAGTTCGAATTCCAGTCAGATTCACTTACGTGGTAATACTCTTGGGTAAGGTATGAATCCTCTTCTTCTCCTTCCCCCCTGCTATGGGTAAATAGCAGGACAGACCATGTCGTCCTATAGTCTTGGATGTTAACTGGTCTGCCGCAGAATGAAATGGCAACCTACTGCAGGAAAGAATCTGCCTCATCAGTCATGTATCGAAAGATACATGATCGCCTAAGCGTGTATCACGCATGGCACATAACTGACTGACGTTTTCTTGTCTTGTTTTTTTGTAAATTTTATTATCAATACGATGAAAGCCAACGAACCCGCCATAATTAACAAAAATCACGAAATCATTTGATAGTAGATATAAAAGCACCCAAAATGCATCACTGATGTCCTTTGGTTGTGGATATAGGAAATGTTTAAGCAAGTGAGGTACTATGAGATAAAGAAGACATTATTAAGGAGGGCAGGGCTTGCGCTAGGGTTGAGACATAGGGCCCTCACGAGGTTGAGAGGTTCGGAGTATTAAGCATCGGAGTAGTAAGATTATTGTAGTTAAATGATTGACAATATAACTTAGGTAAAAAAAAAAGTAAAAAATACAAAAAAAAAAGCAAAAAACGCTGCCCTAACTATCCTTTTGGGGGCTCCAACCTCCTGCGGGGTTCCAACCTCTTGGGGGGGGGTCCAACCTCCTGGGGGTTTCCAACCTCTTGGGGGTTCCAACCTCCTGGGGGCTCCAACCACCTGGGGGTTCCAACCTCCTGGGGGTCCAACCTCCTGGGGTTTCCAACCTCCTGGGGGGTTCCAACCTCCTGGGTGGCTCCAACCTCCTGGGGGGTTCCAACCTCCTGGGGTGTCCCTGCGTAATACGCACCGTACCGGACATGCAGATACATGATATAGATTATTAGTCGATGACTGAAAATATAACGTCACTTTAAAAATAATTTTTTTAAAAATAGCGGATGGGCATAAAAGCGTGCTGAAAAACAATGGCAGAGGCCAAAACAGGGCCCTAAAAATGCCCCCAACCACGTCGGGGGTAAGACACGCCGGCTCTGAAGGAGGGAGAATAATAAAAATTCATTATTCACAGGATATAATTTCGTCAAGAGAGGCAAAGAAAAAGATCGGGTAACCTCCCTAAAGAGTTTGTGTAAATGGATGAGAAAACGGGGACTTTGAGGAAAAGTTAGAAAATCAGTGATTAGAATTGGTTGGGCTGAGAACTTTTCAGAACAAGCTTTCAATTAATTAACACTAGGTAAAAACTCCAAACAGTAAGAGACAATCTCATGCTTCTCGCGATCACTTTCTGCTTGCTTATGCCATGTAGCTTTCTATTTACCTTATGCTATTTAGAGAGGAGTTTAGCGTTGCCGAGTAATTCCTTTGATCGCTAGATATCTTGAAAGACCAATCTGAGAATGTGAAAGATATGTTTTATATATATATATATCAGTGAGCCAAAACATTAATCAGAACATTTCACTTGACGTTTTCTGTCGTAAAAAAAAACTTACATTAGGATCATTTATTTTGGCAGACATATTCTTCAGCCACTTTTGCAGAGTATTCATTGCAGAACAACTTTCATATCAATAATCGTGCATGTCTGGCAAGCTAAACTGTACGCTCGATATTTTGGCATTTCACAGAGGTTTGCACACAATCAGTACAAATATCAAAGAACTCAGATATGCTAATGCGACCGTCTTTTGTTCGTCACAAACTTAACTGCCAAAATATTATCAGCAAAAGCTGAAAAAGAAAACGAGATGAACAAACCAAACTTTCAGCCATTTTTCTCGTCTTAAAAATAAAAGACGAAGCGAATAATAATTGAATTTCTAGATGAAAAGATACGCTAAAGAGGAATTCGCGTAAAATTCTGTTAGCTGAATGAAAAGCAGGTAAGGAAGAAAAAGCAGATGTTGTCGCGTAGACGAAGCTCTTTTATCAGAGATCATTTAAAAGGAATTCCATTATAGAATGTTAATGAGAAATTTTGAAAATGTTCCTTCATGTTAGATGTAATAATTAATATGAAACAGTGACATTCAGGTTAGAATAGGGTGGCGGATTTTGTGGTAACAATAACACGCAAGGATATTACGATAGATAATGATAGAACAATTGATTTCTATTTCTTTCTAAGTAAGGCTAAGCCTTTGTGATTTAGTTTGTTTTCTAGTTTATATGACTGTATACACAGAGAGAAAGAGAGAGTTCAAGGAAATAGATATAAGCAGACATATAGACAGATATAAAGAGATATAAAGAGACTGAGATAGATAGATAGATAGATAGATAGATAGATAGATAGATAAAAGATATAAAGAGACTGAGATAGATAGATAGATAGATAGATAGATAGATGGAGATAGATAGATAGATAGATAGATGATGGAAGAGACTGAGATAGATAGATAGATAGATAGATAGATAGATAGATAGATAGATAGATAGATAGATAGATAGATAGAAGATAGACTGAGATAGATAGATAGATAGAGATAGATAGATGAGATAGATAGATAGATAGATAGATATGAAGAGACTGAGATGATAGATAGATAGATAGATAATGAATAGTCTTAGATGATGGATAGATATAGATAGATTTGAACATAGATAGATAGATAGATAGATAGATAGATAGATAGATAGATAGATAGATAGATAGATATGAAGAGACTGAGATGATAGATAGATAATGAATAGTCTTAGATATGGACTTATATAGATAGATTTGAACATAGATAGATAGATAGATAGATAGATAGATAGATAGATAGATAGATAGATAGATAGATAGATATGAACAAACTGAGACAGATAAATAGATAGGCGTCTTAGGTGATGATTTTCATTTATGCTTTAATAATATATAAGATGAAGACATTAAAATCTAAGGATATCTGTACTGAATGGTCGTAACGTCTTGGATTAAAGCCGGTCCGCGCTGCAAAGATGTCACCAAACGAAGTCTGGAATTAATCGAACCGTTGCAACTTTGAATCTTTAAAACGTGTACCAACGCTGATTTCATGAATAAACAGAAACTTGAAATGACGTCTGGGCTTGCAACGAGTAAAGCATATTTGGCAGCATCCACCGTGCGTTGATGATCCTGGACGACTTTGAAACTGTTAAGAGGATAAAATATAAATCTGGCAACTTTATATTGTCGATGTTTGTCTTGTACCAGAAATAAACTGATTAGAAAATATCGTTTTTGTCAAACTAAAACATTTTAGGCGTCTTTAAATGTCAATTAGATGCCCAATCCTAAATCAAGTGGCAAAACATGTAACATCACTTACTAATCCTTCTATAAAGAGCGCCCACAAGATGGACACCCACAAGAAATGCACCCACATGAAAGACACCCACAAGGACATCCATAGGAAGAAATCGAATGTAATTGATAAGAGAACCAATGAACTCCTATTTTCTAATCCTTCGTTCACATTAATAAGTACGGATGGGCTAAGCGGATTAAGGATAAGCTGGGGATTAGGTCAACAAGGAGAAGGTTTTGTAATGTATTGAGATAGGATTATAGGAAGTTAAGTAATGGGCCGATGGCGAACCCCAACGATTCATATTCTATTTATGTACCATGTCCTTTAAGGACGTTGGCAATCATGGCTCTTCCCCCTCCCTCTATCACTTGCATCTCTCTCAACAAGTTCCTTCCCTCTGCTTCCTCCCCAGACCACGTTCTGTCACCCACTTGCTTAAACCCACCAGCTATGTCACGAGTTGTTTTCCCTTGTCTCTCTTTCCCTCTATTCGACCCGTGAGTATCAGATTCTCCAGGCCCTTCTTCCTCATTATATGTCCCAGAAACTTCAGCTGCTTCTTCCTGGTGTTAAGCATGAGCCTCCTCCTTGTCTACATCCTCTCCAAGACCTCATCGTTGCTCACACTCTCGGTCCATGAAATCCTCAGCATCCTTCTGTAGAACCACATCTCCGTCGCCTCGTGTCTCTTTTTCATCCTTGAGGAAATCCCCAGCATTCGCTGCCATAAAGAAGGACAGATATCACGTAACAGCTCAGTATTCTTTTCTTTGTTACCAAAGAAATCCTCCTGTCTCGCAATACTCTGCCCAGATTTTTGAATGCGTCCTTGGCCAACCCAATACGTCTACGGATCTCAGTGTCGCACTTACCGTTCTCTGTCAAGACGTTTTCCAGATATTTAAACTTCCGTGTCTGTTTGATTCTAGTGTTCACGACCTGCAAATCGCATTTCGGGCTCATCCTTTTGCTGATAGCCATGCATTCCGTCTTCTTGTACTTTATGCTTAGTCCTTTCTTCTCACTCTCCGTTGCTACCGTCTGCAGGAGATGTTGTAATTTCATTTCCGTGTTGCTATCATTACTGTGTCATCTGTGTCTTTTAACTTAGTGACCATTTTTGACCCGAAAAACATAAAATTATGTGCCATCGACTGGCTATCCCTAAACCCAGACTTAAGTCCTGTTAAACTGGTGTGCCTGGAGAAATTTAAAGTCTTGGAGGAAGGAAATTATATTCAAAGTAGCATTGTGGCAACACTAGAAAATTCTCTGGGAAGTTATTGAAAAAAACAAAATTTGTTTAAATATGTTGAAAATATTATGGGCCGACATATGTATAACGAAGAAGTTTTGAGATAAAAGGGAACTCCAAGGACATTTATTCTTAGAATCATAAAAAGATAGTTGAAATTTTTAGGATACCTAATGAGGAAAGATAGTTTGGAGAATTCGATACTCACAATGAAAGCAAAGGTGATAGACAAAACAGTAACACGATAGTATAACAGGGAGTGAGTGAAAGAGTAAATAGACAAACATTGCTATGAGCGACAAAGGATAGGAAGATGTAAAGAGCCATGATTTCCTACGTCCTAAAAAGACACAGTACAGAGAGGAAAATTCCCCAAAGAAAGGTAAAAGGCGGCGATAATGAATATCGCATTCAGAGTAAAAGGTATATATTTTACTGGATATTTTAATTGTGACAACAAACTCTTAAAATTTCCTTGTTAAACGTCATATTTCTCAATTATTAAAACATAGTTATTGAATAATTCAGGAATGTCTATAACTTTAAAGTATTAAAAAATATTTAGTAATTAAATAAATGAAAGGAAATCTTTTTAAATAAAAGTCATCAGCGATATTTTTCACAACCTAAATTTCTACAGAATATTTTATTAAAGAAATGTAATTAAAAACATTCGAAAGTAAGTCATATTTCTAATTTTATTTTCTGATTCAGGTCATAATTTTACGCAGTTTGAAATTAAATGTATTTTTGATTTGATTTCTCTGGGGACTTATCTTTAAAATGTAAAAATTAAGAGTTCAAATTATATTTTAAGATTTCAAAAATTATGTAACTTTTTCTTCCAAAATTCTCTTTTCATGCAAAAATGAATTCATAAATGAATAAGTAACCAAAATATGGTGGGGTGTGGAGAGTTCAATATTCCGTGTTTTTAACGTATACTTTAGTCTGGGGACAATACTGTTAGAAGAGATTTGTAATACGTGTATGAAAGTTCTTATGGTCCGCCAATTCTCTCTTGTCAAATATAAACGAGAAATCCTCTCTCGAACGAAAGGGGAGACAATTCACATGTCAGACATATTCGTTCACGTATTATTTCAAGTAAATATTTTTAATTGTTTCACATCAAGCAAGGGGATAAAGCAACTAAGACGAAAGTCGTTATGGAGAATGAAGAAAACTGAAAAAAATGTTACTGAGGAGAAAAGACAATAAAAGAACGGGATTCAAAGAGACAGATGACAATTCAGGATACATTTAAATTTTTGAGGATCGTAGTTGATAGGAAATCAAAAAAATTTGGACAGAGTTCCACAGGCGAAAAGTGTGAGAGAAGAATCAATTAGGATGGAACTTGTGGTTACACTTGGCAATTTCAACAACAAAATGATGAGACCTTGCCGCCAATCTAGTGACCTCATCTACCCTGGGTAAGGGGTTCCCCAACCCAGCTACTTACGTTGGCGCCAGTTTTTCGTTAGTGATCGTCAGAGCAACACCTTCGTTCGTGGATCACTTACCAGGTGTTAAAGATATTATTCAAAATGCCAAAAAGTCCTGGAGAAAGCCATATGGGTAGTGAAAAGAAAAAAAAGAAAGCATTTATGTTTATCAGTATCACAGAAAGTCAAGCTGTTGGAAAAACTAGACAGGCACGTAAGTGTGAAGCGTCTGCCTGAGGAGTTTGGCGGTGGAACAGACACCATATATGACATAAAGAAACAATGAAAGAGAAATTGCTAAAGTTTTATACTGAAAGTGATGAACAGATATAAATGAAAAATAGGAAAACACTGCAGAGAGCAAAAAATGATGATCTCGCTCCTGTATTGATGAAGTGGATTCGTTAGTGTCGGAGTGGATGTAGGCCGCTTACTGGAATGCTGGCCATGTAACAAGCAAAAATCTATTATGACGAACTGAATACTGAAAGCAACAGTGAATATTCAGCAAGCTAGTTACAGAAATTTAAGAAATGGCATTAAATATTTAATGGAGTGTTGTGATAAATATGGAGGATATATTTCTAAGCGGTGTTATGAAATGTAAAGGGATATGCTTGGGTTCCATTCCCAAAGCTGCGCCATTTTATAGATGCTATATACAAATTAAATATCCAGTAATCAAAATACATTCGTCAGTGTCGGTGTAAATATAGGCCGCTTATATAAAACTACCTTCAGGATATATATATATATATATATATATATATATATATATATATATATATATATATATATGAGATGTCCATAAAAGTTCGTGTGCACTTTAAAAAAAATTTATAACTTTTTGTATTTGCGATAGAAATAATCAGAAAAAAATGTTGTAAAGTTTAATGTACCTAGTTTTAAGTATAGCTAAAATAACTAATGTGATTTCAGGAATTACTCTGAATCAGTTGGCAAATGCTTTCCGTGAACTGCAAAATCGTATTACCCTTTGTATTGCTAATAATGGAGGACATGTGGGAGACTTAAATAAAATTTCAATAAAACCGTAAAAAATATAGATTTGCTTCTTTCTAATCCTTTTTACAAATTATTTCTATCGCAAATACAAATAAAGTTATACATTTTTTATTGTGCACACGAACTTTATGGACATACTGTATAAGCAGTATTGTGAAATGTAAAGGGATATCGTATTTATACTTAGGTTCCATTCCCAAGTTACACCATTTTATAGATGCTATATACAGATTAAATAGCCTATGTTCTAAAACCCGAAAGAATCGGAAAACTGAAGCATTTCCGTTCCCAAGAATTTTAAATGAAGGATTCTCAACCTGTAATCGATATAATAGACTTATATGAATATTTAGATGAAGTCTTTTCATAATAAACTTCTTACTCGTTTTTTTTTTCATATATCTTATTGTTGATATTTATCAGTGTCGACATTCCCACTCGCGCCTACATGAAATAAAGAAGTAACTTTAGAGAGGATTTAAACTTAAAACTCATAACCGGAGAGCTTGTCTTACAGAGGTAACGCCTTAACCATTAGGCTCCGCTAATCAAACAAGTTCAGGAATCAGGCATTGAAATCAAATTCTTGAGATATAAAATACGAATTAAAATCTTATAGGGAACTACTTCTTTTCCCACTACTTTAATGGTCGAAGAATATTCGACATTGAACGTTCAGATTTAAAACAAATCTAATCAACAATTTTTTAATGATTTCACCCCAAGCAAGGCAGTAATTCCACTTAGACACAAGGGGTTAGCGAGTGTGAAATAATAAGAAAGAAACATTATTAAGGAGCGAGAACAATAAAAGAAGAGAAATCAAGAAACAGTAGATAACAATTGACATTGCATTAGATTTTTTGAAAATCAAAGTTGGCTAGAAAGCATGGAACCGGAAGAAAATTACACAATCGAGAAGTGCGAAAGAAGGAACTGTTAGCCTAGAACTTACGGCTGCATCTGGTTAGGCCAACACTAAAATGATGATAACATGTTGCCAATTTAGTACTACGCTTAAATTCATAAAATCAAGGTACCATAGCAGAAAATTCATCAGGACACGAAAGTATATATAGAAAAGTCACAGGGACGCTACACATTACGACGGTGGAGAAGTGACCGAAGTCGAGATGCTAGGTCAGGGCCAATAACTTTGCAGATTCTTCTTTGGATTTTATCAAGAATTTGAAAATATATAGCAGGAGCACCGGACCATATGTGGCAGCAATATTCTAAGCATGGACGAATAGTAGACTTATAAATAAGTAAGATAGATTCTGAAGAGAAAATTGTCAAGCATTTAATTTGACTCAAGCACCAACATTTGACCGGGATTGGACTTATTTCACCAAAGATACTGTCATGGGTCCTTACCTATAACTACAAAATGATCTCTTCTTAACACTATGTATACTAAGCCTCTCAAGAGAGAGGGACGAATCGATCCGAGCTTCTCGGCTTGACAGTCGAATTCTCTGCCTCTGAGCAGAGAGGAACCTGGACGAGGCTCCGCCGAAGGGCAGAGTCTCGTTCGGGGAAGTTGAGGTTGATCAACCCGATCCCGTTTATACGGGTTCTACGTGCATTTTTTGGCCGAGCCTACGGGCTCGGAAAACCCACGTTAAACTCGGCCTTGTGCCACATGCAACCCTCGTTGGGGTGGGGGGGGGGCTAGATACCGAATCAAATCGAGTCGATAGTAGTTCACTCCAAACCGGACTGACAGTCATACTAACACCTTCCACATCTTGTATTATTATTTCTTGTAATATACCTTCGTTATTTCTACTCTTGTGTTCGTGTTGTTCTTCCTTGGACCATAACAGATACATATCCCATAAGCTATGGTGGGAACTCTATGAGCCATGAAATGGATCGCATGAACGCTGAACTCGGTTAGAACTACATCAATCTATAGTGACGTTACCTCTTTTTCTTTAAAAAATAAGTATTTGTTGTAATGTTGTTTTTCTAAGCGCAGCTGAGATGTGACACAAGTCCGAATGTATGAGACACCTAGTGAGGATCGAACTCACTACTTAGTCGTAATTGGTCTAGCTAAACATTGCACCACACCATGGTACCCAACGGCGTGTTATAATGATCTCCTCTTAGCACCATACCACAAAAATGAAATAGCTTGTGTAGAACGAACTCTTCATCATTAGCTTATAAAATTAGCTCGCTAATCACGGTACTAGAGTTGAGGCAGTTTTCGATCATAATGTGAAAACCAGAGATTAATAGTTTCCCAGCAAATAGATTAGGTGCATGATCAATTACCTGGGGTCTCCGCATTTCACGCATTTAAACAAAGCAAACGTGTAATTGACTTAAACAAAGCTATTTCGCTTTTCATTCATAGATCTATTTCTCACCCGCCAAAATGCAGGGCCGTCATATCCGTTTGGCTTTTACTCATTGTTAATTAAGTGCTTTCACAACTATCAATGCCAGCACCAATAACAGTCACCGTCTCCATTCGTAAAGAAACAGAATGATGAGCAAACGAACAAACAACCCGACGCAGAAAAGTTCTCATTTTTTCGTATTCTTCTTTTTTAATGCGTTTTTTTTTTTTTTTCGATTTTATTCTTTTTTGAAAGAAAATTCTGCAAGTGGATGAAGAGATTTCCGTTGACAGAACGAAATAAAAACAAAGAAATATTTTTTTCAAGAAATTACGAGTTAAATAAAAGAAAAATAAAATAAAAAAAGACAGAATGAGAAATGTGATATTGAACGAAATTCGAAAAGCCAAGAAAAGGAAATACAAAAAAAAAAAAATGGAAGGGATGAGGAAAAATAAAATAAAAATTACTATTCGTAAGGGATCTGGGTAGTTGGCTTCAGCTGCTTGAACAAAATAAATCAGAAAAAGAATCAGCGAAAATAAATACAAGTACAATAAGAAAACAAATAATAATAAACACGCTAACAATATTAATACCAAGAAACAACAATAACAACAACAACAACAATAATAATAATAATAGTACAAAGAATCAGACGGGGACGCACATCAATCCCAAGGATAATTCGAAAGAAGAATTGAGCATTTCTGATAAAAAGCCATTGGCACGTTAGTGTAAAAGACACTTAAAAAGAAAAACAGAATCATTAGAAACGCAAAAGAAACAAATATCAAAACCTTAGACAAAATTCAAAACAAGAATTGTAACCGTTGCGAACTCTCAGCCATAAAAGAAATGAATGTAGCATATTAGCTCATACGTAGTATGAAAAAAAAAAGCAGATATGGTTGGGTTGGAACGGTGATTCACTAAGAACTGTGCAACCGACTTGTATTTGACCGCGCATACCAATAGTGTTTACAACTAAGACGCACCATGCCACTTTCACAGAGTCGAATCACTCGCATTGTTTCAAATGCAAGAAAAAAATTACACTCAACTTTATCTCAAGAATTCTCACTTTGTGGAACAGGCTGCCATGTAGGTGCCTCGCTGAACATTTCAAACTTAACCTTGTCAAAACAAGAGTCAATCGATATCTTTCATTTTTATGATCATAATTTTCAGTTCCTACCAACTACTCTTCTATTCATATAACAAACTTCTTTCGGCATTACCGTTTCAACCACAACACTCTACCGCGAAGTATTCTTGAGCCTTCGATTGGGTGAAATTTTGTATTAAAAATCACACGTTGTCCCGTTAAAAGTAGAATTCTGCGAAAATTCAAATTCACATCGTTTAACCAAATCGAAATGTTATCAGATTAGGTTGCTGATGTTAGGTTTAAAAAAATTCGTCTGTTCCTATATCTAGAGATTGGTCACATGATCATAAGCGGTTTCCCATTAGTTAATAAAACCAGGCAGTTTCAGAAAAAGGCACATCACGATCAGAGAGAAGGGACCAGACCTGCACCGAGGTAAAACAAAAGAAATTCTTTCCACCGACAATTATACCAGTAGACAAAGTTTTTAAAGGTACAAGCTACCTAGCTCTATTTCATCACCAGATGGGTATGTCCACAGTGCCAACTGCCGTGGGTTTTAAAGGTACAAGCTACCTGATACTATTTCAAACCACCAGATGAGTATGTCCACGGTACCAGTTACCGAGGGTTTTTAAGGTACAAGCTACCTAGTAGTATTTCAATCCACCAGATGGTTATGTCAACGGTACCAGTTGCCGATGGTTTTAAAGGTACAAGCTACCTAACACTATTTCAATCCACCAGATGGTTATGTTCACGGTACCAGTCGCCGAGGGTTTTAAAGATAAAGCTACCTAGCTCTATTTCAATCCACCAGATGAGTATGTCCACGGTACCAGTTACCGAAGGTTTTAAGGTACAAGTTACCTAACACTATTTCAATCCACCAGATGAGTATGTCCACGGTAACAGTTACCGAGGGTTTTAAAGGCACAATCCACCAGATGGTTATGTCTACGGTACCAGTTGCCGAGGGATTTAAAGGTACAAGCTACCTGATACTATTTCAAACCACCAGATGAGTATGTCCACGGTACCAGTTACCGAGGGTTTTAAAGGTACAAGCTAGCTAACCCTATTTCAATCCACCAGATGGGTATGCCCACGGTAATAGTTACCGAGGGTTTTAAGGGTACAAGCTACCTAGCCCTATTTCACTTCACAAACTGGGTAAATCCGTCTGATATATCTGTATATAGGAAAAGACAATGTGTTTAGATTTTAACCGTTCTATTCATGTTTAGATGAAAACAAATATCTGCCTTATATTGACAAAGTATTCTTTTTAATCATGTCAGTCTCAAAGTAAAGTGGAACTAACACAATACTGGAAACAAATAAAAGATTTCAGCAAAGAGATGAAATCGTTCCGACCCACCAATAAATATAGACATTTGGATAAATATCTGGAATTTACCAAGAAAACAAATGTTGTAGAATCTGAAAGTGACAGCAGTACTTGTACATTTCCAACAACCTGTAACCGTTTCCAGATAATTGTGAAAATAGATTATCAGGATTGCGAATCGGAGGATAAAATGAAACCAGCCAACTGATCCGTGGTTAAAAATCAGTTAAGACTCTGTGGCGTTATAGAGAGGACCTGTTGTCGCTTGATCTCTCGTGAGAGCTACGTGTTGAAAATTTAATCAGTGATTAAAGGAAATAAACAAAAATAAACAAGCAGAGGATATTTCGAAAATAAGGAGGAGGAGCGGACTCGGAGGAGAGGACTCGGAGGAGAGGACACGGAGGAGAGGACTCGGAGGAGAGGACTCGGAGGAGCGGACTCGGAGGAGCCGACGAGGAGAAGCGGACGGGGAGAAGCGGACTCGGAGGAGCCGACGAGGGGAAGTGGCGGACGACGGGAGAAGCTGACTCGGAGGAGCCGACGAGGAGAAGCGGACACGGAGGAGCCGACGACGGGAGAAGCGGACACGGAGGAGCCGACGAGAAGGACTCGGAGGAGCCGGACACGGAGGAGCCGACGAGGGAGAAGCGGACGACGGGAGAAGCGGACTCGGACTCGGAGGAGCCGACGAAGGGAGAAGCGGACACGGAGGAGCCGACCCGGAGGAGCCGATGGGGAGAAGCGGACTCGAGAGGAGGATGGGGGACGGGGAGAAGCGGACTCGGAGGAGCCGACGGGAGAAGCGGACTCGGAGACTCGGAGGAGCCGACGAGGGAGAAGCGGACTCGGAGGAGCCGACGAGGGGAAGACTGGAGGAGGAGGGGAGGGGAGAAGCGGACTCGGATGGGGGAGCCGACGAGGAGAAGGGGATTCGGAGGACACGGGGAGAAGCGGACTCGGAGCGGATGGGAGAAGTGGACCGGAGACGACGGGGAAGCGGACTCGGAGGAGCCGACGGGGAGAAGCGGACTCGGAGGAGCCGACGACGGGAGGAGGAGGAGGGAGACTCGGACCGGAGAGCCGACGACGGGGAGAAGCGGACCGAGAGAAGCGGACTCGGAGGAGCGGACGGGGAGAAGCGGACTCGGAGGAGCCGACGGGGAGAAGCGGACTCGGAGGAGCCGATGGGAGAAGTGGACCTGGGAGGAGCCCGGGGGAGCCGGACTCGGCCAACGGGAGGACGGGGGGGAGGAGCGGACTCGGAGGAGCCGACGGGGGAAGCGGACTCGGAGGAGCCGGACGAGGGAAGTGGCCGAGGAGGACGGGGAGAAGCGGAGGAGCTCGGAGGAGAAGGATTCGGAGGAGCGGACGGACGGAGCCGACGGGAGAAGCGGACTCGGACGGGGGAAGCCGACGACGGGGAGAAGCGGACTCGGAGGAGCCGACGGGGAGAAGCGGACTCGGAGGAGCGGACGGGGAGAAGCGGACTCGGAGGAGCCGACGAGGAGAAGCGGATTCGGAGGAGCGGACGGGGAGAAGCGGACTCGGAGGAGCCGACGGGGAGAAGCGGACTCGGAGGAGGACGGGGAGGAGCCGAGACCTGGAGGAGCTGACGGGGAGAAAGCGGACTCGGAGAGAATAGCCGACGAGGGATGAGGAGCGGACGGGGAGCGGACTCGGAGGAGCCGACGGGGAGAAGCGGACTCGGAGGAGCCGACGGGGAGAAGCGGACTCGGAGGAGCCGACGGGGAGAAGCGGACTCGGAGGAGCGGACGGGGAGAAGCGGACTCGGAGGAGCCGACGGGGAGAAGCGGACTCGGAGGAGCCGACGAGGAGAAGAAGTGGATTCGGAGGAGCGGACGGGGAGAAGCGGACTCGGAGGAGCCGGACGGGGACTGATGGGGAGTAGCGGACTCGGAGGAGCCGACGGGAGAATGGACCGGACTCGGAGGAGCGGACGGGGGGAGAAGCGGACTCGGAGGAGCCGACGGGGAGAAGCGGCGGACTCGGAGGAGCCGACGGGGAGGAAGCGGACTCGGAGGAGCCGACGGGGAGAAGCGGACTAGGAGGAGCCAGCGGACTCGAGGGAGGGGAGGGGAGAAGCGGACTCGGAGGAGCGGGGAGACCCGGAGGACGAGGCGGGGGAAGGGACTGGAGGGAGGGACCGGAGAAGCGGACTCAGGGAGGAGCTGACGGGGAGAAGCGGACACGGAGGAGCCGACGAGGAGAAGCGGACTCGGAGGGAGCCGACGGATGAGAAGGGGAGGAGCGGATGGGGGCGGACTCGGATGGGGAGAAGGCCGACGCGGGGAGATGGGGAGAAGCGGACTCGGAGGAGCCGACGAGGAATAGTGCGGATTCGGAGGAGCCGACTGGGAGAAGGGAGAAGCGGACTCGGAGGGCGGACGGGGAGAAGCGGACTCGGGGGCCGCCGACGGGGAGGAGAAGCGGACTCGGAGGAGCCGACGGGGAGAAGCGGACTCGGAGGAGCCGACGGGGAGAAGCGGACTCGGAGGAGCCGACGGGGAGAAGCGGACTCGGAGGAGCCGACGAGGGAAGCGGACGGGGAGAAGCGGACTCGGAGGAGCGGACGGGCAGAAGCGGACACGGAGGAGCGGACGGGCAGAAGCGGACGGGGAGGAGCCGACGAGGAGGAGGATAAAAATGTGAAGCAAACAAAATTACGCAGTGTGAGGGAAACAAAACTAGTAAAAGTGAAATTAAAT